AGAAAAATAAGATTCACTGAAATCCAGGCCCTTTTTTGTGAACTAGACGTGCTTTGTATCTTAATATTTCTCCAAATTCCATTTCTCTTTAATGTGAAAACCCATTTACAGTCAATCAGCACTCTATTGGGTAGTAAATCCACTAATGTTCAGATATTGTTTGTTTCCAACGCTTTCAGCTCTTCCTTTTCTTTCTTTTTCAGGGTGATGTTTTAAATCTGATACATCTTGTGGTATATTTTCAGTATACATCTCAGCGTGTAATGCAAATGCATAATACGATTCATCCTGATCATCATCATGATTTATTATACAGTAATTACGCCAAAAAGGGGTCTTTCTCATCCTTCTTCGAACATTTCCATTTACATTCTTTTTTCTAATTTTTGAGATTTTCTTCTGTGGAATGTTTTCCTGTATAACATTTTCTATCAAATCAGTTTTGTTGTTCGAAATAGTATTTCAATGGTCATCATTATTTTCAAAACTTTTGAATGATGTAATTGTCATAGGTTTATAATTTTCATCAAAGGTGACATTCCTTGATACGATTATCTCATTTGTTGACGAATTCCATAACCTGTAGCCTGTGGTAATGGATCCAACCATCAAATGTTCGATACTTTTTTCATCAAGTTTATCTCTTTTATGCTCTGGGATTAGAGGGTGAGCAGGAGATCCAAAAACTCTCATCTTTCGAACATTTGGTTTTATGGAAAACCATATTTCCGCTGGGGTTTTGTCCTTTTGGGAATGGTTTGATTTATTCACAAAACGATTCCTAATGCAAGCAGCAGCCCGAAGAGGTTTCACCTAAAGGGTTTTAGGTACACTACTGTCAGCTATTATAGTTCTTGCTTTATCTACTAGTGATTTATTGAACCTTCCGCTAACACCGTTTTGTTGAGGGTTATAGGGTATATTTAATTCCATCTCAAAATTTCTTGAATTCATTTGATGTATATTCCCCTCTATTATCTGTACGTGATCGTGATATTCTGCTCTGGAATTGTACTTCCACTTCATCTTTATATTGTCGAAAGCATGAAAATACCTCACTTTTGATCTTCAACAAATAAACAACAAAATGGGTATAATCATCAATAAAAGTTGTGAAGTATTTATAGTCTTCTTTGGTTTCTGGCTTCAAAGTTCCACATACATCAGAGTGAAATACTTCTAAGGGTCTAATTGATCTTGGTGGTTTATCAACAGATGGATACGGTAAACGAAACAATTTTCCTTGTACATAAGATTCACAAAATTAAAATTTTCTTTCTGTGAACGTATGATTCCTTCCACAATTTGTTTGTCTGACATTTGATTTAGAAGGTCTTTTTGTGCATGTCCATATCTTCTATGCCATAATAATAAATCTGATATGTTGGTAATGTCTACAGTGCTCGCTGAAACAGAAATCCTAGTTGTGAACGGTAAATTGATTCGATAATTTTCCCTAGCGGTGAGCTTCTAAGCTCAATTTGTTATCTTTTCTTTTCTTGACCTAAGGTTACTGTAAAACCTTTTCCTTCAAGTTTTGATACACTCATTTTTTATGATTGATTCGGCCGTTACTTGATGATGATTCATAGTAATTTCAAAAACTACACCTCACGATTTGATCTCCACAAACTTTATTTAAAAAATATATCACAACATGTTTCGCCAGCACAGTAGTTTTATCAAGTGATTTGAATACTTCAAGTTGTTTCTTACACTAATATTTATATACTACAGGTAACCATAATTGAGTCTACCTAAGGTACCTGTCCAATTATGATCACCTGAAGCATCTACATCAATAATAATGTCAAATATAGAAAATAATCATGAAATGATTCAGATTCATTTAGGTAAATACATGAATTGAAAGATGTTCCAACCTCACTTCAATATTTTAACACAAAAACACTCAGTATTCAGAATTCCATCTTTTGATATTTCAAGTTCATAGACATCGAAATTGATCCGATCACAGGATATGGAATATAAAACAATCTCCAAATATGCAAACTTGGCACAGATTGCATGCTGTGCATTTTACTTCAGTACAGTGACCGGATCAAAGTCGCAATGTCAGCGTATAATTCTTTATAAATATTGAGGGAGGTCAAGATCATGGATCATAGTTAATGGTTAACAGTTAACAGTTAACAGTCAACAGACAGTATTCATTTACGTATCGATTGGGTCTTCAGAAATGCAGCACATCTCCTTTTCTTCAATCCTGCTGGGTGGCAGTATAATGTAAGTTTTTGATTGTTTTAATGCATTATTTTCTTATTAACATTTGAGTTTGAGTTTATTTAAAGTATTTTTTTCCGTTTCTTTTACAATAAACATTTAATTAAGTTTTAAATGAGTTCTTTTATTATTTGGATGAATGAGATGAATGGGTGAAACAGCAAATAAAAATCCTCTCGTAAATAGCCAAGCGAGAACTGAGTTGCGACAATAATTCTCTTTCGGTTTTCAATAAAACAAGTTCAATAATGGTGATCTATTCCAATCTAGTTGATCATTTCAATTTCAATTTTTAAGTTTGTTTCCAAATGATTCAGTTTCAAACCTTTATTTTCTATATGCAAAATTTCGGACGATTGTTAAAGATATACTTTTCTTCTAGAAAATGATTTGAATATGTTGCCTTTATTTTCTATATGCAAAATTTCGGACGCTTTGTTAAAGATATGCTTCTCTTCTAAAAAATTATTTGAATATGTTGAATTTGTTTTCTCATCTCGAATTTGGATGTTTTGTCTTTATTGTTTTTAACTAACTTTCCCAACGTATTACTAGTTCTATATGCAATTTTAATATTTCCTTTCCTCAAAAATGGTTGTCCAAAATACGATAAAGCTCTGTAATTATGATTATCTACGTTATCGATAAGAAAAACGTCTCGAATCGCTTTGGCGTAGACTCTCTTGGCAAGTATTTTGTTTATTAATTCGGCTTTAAACCCATTGTTAACCGCAATTTGCTTGATGATATTAAGTTCCTTATTGAAATTATCTATTGAAAGAGGAACATTGATTAATCTATATAAAATGCTATTATAAGCTGCTGTATTGATAAGGATGAATTCAATGTTTTCATGAATTTTGTTAATATTCCTAGGAAAATCATCTAATTGTTTCTTAGTACCTGTGAAACATACCACAACGTCATCAGCATATCTATGCCAATACAAGAAAGTCTGCAAGTAAGGGGCTCAATGGATTTCTCATAATTGAACCTTTTGAAGAGAAGTAAATATTTTTGTTAAATTGAAAATAATTTTGTTTGAGACATAACGACAGAAGGTCGATCATTTCTCGTTTTATGACTGGGTTTAAAAAAAATCTGTTTTTCCGTTAATCAGTTCACTCTATTTTTATCTAATAATTCTATTACTGAAATAATAGTATCATCAGGAGGTATGCTGTGAAATAGATTCTGCACATCAAAGGATAGTAATTTTGCGTTGTCTGGTAGAGGTATGTTCTCTATTTTATTGATTAAGTCATATGAATTCCGTAGACTGAATTTTGGTTGGAAGGTACAATGGTTCAAGATGATATTGATTAGCCTTTCTAATAATTTAACTGATGGTTCAGTGACAAAGGAAACCACTGATCTAATTGGATAACTCTGTTTGTGCAGCTTTATGAGTGAATATAATTTTGGAATCTGGGGGTTCAATGTTAATTTGAACTGTTTCCTTTCAGTAAAATGTATGTTTGAATTTTTCAAGAAATCTTTCACTTTTTTTTGGAAAGAATCAGTTGGATCACATTTCAGCATTTCAAAACTTCCTAAATTCAAGAAATCAAGGGTTTTGTCGGTCAATAGCAACCACAGTGTTGCTCATTAGGTAAAATTTCAAGTTCGGTACTAATAACACTTCGTTTACATTAATAACTGAATTGGTTAAGGTTATTTTGATATTTTCAGACTTCGTAGCAGTAATTGTGTGTTTGTTCTTGGCCACAGCAATTTCCATTGGGACTTCTAGTTTGTAAAATAACGTTCATCGTTAACCATATGCTCTGATGTTCCTGAGTCTATCAACCACTTCATAGTATTATTTTGCACAGTACTAGGGTGAGTTACATTTCCTCCAATGAAAGCAATTTCAGTTTCCTTTTGGTTAGTAGTTCCTCCAGAGTTAGCGGACTGGTGATAATGAGTATGTCTTTTATTACCACGTTCATATTTGTACTGGTTCTTTATAGCCCTTGATTTACTATGAAATTCATGCCGTTCGTAACCAATTTTTCCACAGTTAAGACATTTATAATGAAAGTTTTATTTTTGGGTTACAAATGCGAAAGTTATATTGTGGTATCTTTGCACAACAGTCTTCCGTTTATTATGCTCATCCAATAAACGTGCCTTGACAAAGTCCAATGTCAATTTGCTCTGATCTATAGTCTCCAGTACAGCAACGATCGCTTCAAATGATTTGGGTAAGTTCAACAATGAATATCAAACACAATCAATATTCACCTGAATTTTTGAGTTTCTGGGTGATTTTATCAAAACTATCAATGACAGACTTCAATGATTCAAAGATTCCCTTCGCAGTGGACTCATTTCAGTTGTTCATCAGCAATGTGGTTGGTGATGATTGCTTTGCATTTCTTCTCTTCCTTATTTATAGATTGTATAACCGCAGCATCTTGTCCTAGAGTAAAAGTAATTAATTTTACTTCAATGTACTTATTCAATAATACTTTTATTAAGATCCAAAATACTCATAACTATATCGTTACGCCATCAATACAAAAACTTGGAACAGCAACTAGTATATTTAACACGAGACAGTGTTGCCAAAATGCTAAATAATTGACAGTTACTGAGTAAAAATACACTGAGATGTACACATTCACTTTTTGGCCTGAAAAGATTACAAATGTTCGTCTATCCAAGAATTTCTGCATAGCCTAAAAGAGTCCTGATTTCTACCACAGATCTCAATTCGAAGTAGAGATAATTTGACGAATATTCTTTTATAGTAAAGGCCTATTTATTCGACGGAGCGGAATCCAGTTCAGAATCGGAAATGGGCGTCTCCAGCAAGCTGCGCCAAAATACCACCATGACCCTGGAAACATCTGACTCGTACTTCCCTCCAAAGCCGGTACAGGATCTCATCTCACTCGTGGAGAAAGGCAGGGTAGGCATGAGCAGTAACAGCTCGTGTTGCAGTTCGACGACGAGCTCAGTAGGGGAAAAACACGGGGTGAAGGCATCAAAAGTTACCGCGCAAGTCAATGACCAAGTACAAAGGTAAGCTAATTTATTTATCTACAATTGTTAATAATTTCAAATTTCGACATAACCAAACTTGGCTCATTTATGAGGAAGTAGTTGTTTTCTGATAGGTGTCAGTCCATTAACCTACTGTGTAGGGTGTTGAGACTGGCCTGAACGAATTGTTCCTTTAGATGATTTAACTCTGTTTGTGCAGTTTTATGAGTGAATATAATTTTGGAATTTGGGGGTTCATCAATGTTAATTTGAACTGTTTCCTTTCAGTAAAAAGTATGTTTGAATGTTTAAAGAAATCTTTCACTTGTCTTTGGAAAGAATCAGTTGGATCACATTTCAGCATTTCAAAATTTCCTAAATTCAAGAAATCAAGGGTTTTGTCGGTCAATAACAACCACAGTGTTGCTCATTAGGTAAAATTTCAAGTTCGGTACTGATAACACTTCGTTTACATTAATAACTGAATTGGTTAAGGTTATTTTGATATTTTCAGACTTCGTAGCAGTAATTGTGTGTTTGTTCTTGGCCACAGCAATTTCCATTGGGACTTCTAGTTTGTAAAATAACGTTCATCGTTAACCATATGCTCTGATGTTCCTGAGTCTATCAACCACTTCATAGTATTATTTTGCACAGTACTAGGGTGAGTTACATTTCCTCCAATGAAAGCAATTTCAGTTTCCTTTTGGTTAGTAGTTCCTCCAGAGTTAGCGGACTGGTGATAATGAGTATGTCTTTTATTACCACGTTCATATTTGTACTGGTTCTTTGTAGCCCTTGATTTACTATGAAATTCATGCCGTTCGTGACCAATTTTTCCNTTCGGAGACTTTCATCTTCTAGAAGAAAACCTATGCCTGAGTTTTTATGGCATTGAATTCAACCTGCTTACTTCCACCCCAAATCGAAATCACATCAAGATATGCAACCTCCTGCTGTCGGTGATGATGTGTATCCGCAGTCAATGTTTCGAATTATAAATTGAATGACGAAAGGAGTGTGCTGTCGTCAGCAAAGCAATATATTGGATAATTTTTTTTTCAATAAGTCGTTGGTATACGATAAAAAGAGGGTTGAAGACAATATGGATCCCTGGGGAACAACAACGTTGATTGTGAAAGTATTCGAGAGATATTCGTCGATTGCCACTTGCAGGGAACGTTCTTTCAGTAAGCAGGAGAGCCATTCACAAAATTGATCCGACAAACCACACCATAGAAGTTTGGCCAGTAAAGCCTCATGCCACACACGGTCAAAGTGTTCAAAAATATCAAGCGCAACAGCACCTGACTCTCCATGTTTCTCGATTATGTTATTCCAAAAAATATGGGTGACGTACGATATAAGGTCGCCTGTTGATCTTTGTTACCGAAAGCGATATCGACGATTGCTCAAGATGTTCAATGATATGGTGAATTACGGCTTTCCCATTAATTTTGATATCACTGATGGCAAAGCGACTGGTCTATAGTTATCTGGAAGTCTGTTTCAATTTATTGTGTCATAAATATCATTAAAATACTGTTACGTTCTTTCCTGTGGGTTTACCAATGATTGACAATACTGAATAACACTCAAACTCAACGTTATTTCACTTTCAATACAACAAAACACATCAATTTGAGCTTCAACTATTATTCAAATGTCTATCGTTTTACTAGATCGCGCCGCTTACCGCACTGTCACTTCCACTTGACTCTCTCGATAGACAAGTGATCGTGTTTATATATGGCGATCGAAATTCGTCGGAATTCCATCGAAGTCGGTGGAATATTCGCCGGAACTCTATTGGAGCCGGTGCGAAGACCAAATTAATCGAGGCTGCGCGCGGCCTTGACCACGTCATAGTTGGTTAATGGCTACCAGTGGCGGCCGGCGTTATTTTATTTAGGGCATGAATAACAACAATACATTAGAAACAGTATACCCAATACCGTGCCCTGTATAATGCCAATGTTCACTGGGAAAGATCACTATATGAGTTATCGATTTTCACCACCTGTTTTCTATCTGTCAAATTCCAAAGTAAAGAGCCCAGATTTAAATTCATTATACAAATATTATATAATCGTTGGAACAGACGTTTATAATCGAAGGTATCAGAAGCTTTCACAAATGCTGTCAAGCATTTTTCATTGTTTTGAAAACTAAAGAAAACTAATCGACTGTTTGAATTCAGATGGCACCTTGCCATAATCAAAAATTCATTTTATATATCACAGAAAGGGTTTATAATATACTGATGATGTTTTTGAGAAGGCATTCCGACAATATTAGGTTTTTTCTGAAGTTTTGTATGTTTCATGAGTCTACTTTAAACTGTAATATCTCAGTGAATACTCATTCAATCAATTTGAAATGAGTGCCATTTGAATCGGTGATATCGATGAGTTATATTTCTTAAAATGTTTTTTCTTTCTTGGAAAGTTAGAATTGTATGCTGAATGAAGTAGTCAAGTCACAACTACAAAGTTATTTGTTTCATTGAAACGCTAAATTATTACAGAATCAGTGTACTTTCACCAATGTGAAACAAGTCGAATAATTTCGTCAACATGAAAATTGCGTGTTCGGTACACGATGAAGTCGACGAAGACCGTTTTTGCCCGGTCCTGATTGTCGGAAGTTCTACCGGTGAGAAAGTTATCGAAGTGCTTGGAAACACGATAGTTGGTTGGTGAGGATCCGGGTAGTATGGTGGGTGAGGCAGAACTTCGACGCTAAATTCTTTTAATTTTCCAACGGTGATTTCTGAAACATGCGGACGGTCGCTGTTGTGGAGTAGGATCTTCTGTTGATCAGTGCCGGCTGCCGCTGGCTCAATTTTCGGAACATTTCACAATAGTACGTTTTCCGTTGTAGAGAATCTACTTTTCATCACACGTGACGATCCGATTAAAAAAAGATGATTCTGGTTGCGCATCAGCAAAGAAGAAAATATCTCAGAACGTGACAATTTCAGTGATCGGTGATCAGTGATCAGAAGATATTGTGAACGTATTGAAAATGTCTATGAACTGTGATCATTTTCAGACAAAGATTGTTTGTATGAATATAACATTTCGTTATAAAAAATAAGATAAAACTTTCAAATTTGAAATTCCAAAATAACTCGTCTAATTACGAGCATTCTACCAGACAGATATCGACAAAAAATCAGTATATGATAACCAAATCCTCCAAAACCATAGTTTACCAATATCAATGATAAAATTGAGAATGATAGTTTGTTGCAAAAAATATTTGAAATATTTGATAACACAGAAAGCTAACTTTTCCACTGAATTATTCATCTTGTGTATAACATTTTCATGTATTTTCGTTAAAAATATTTCATTGTGATATTTGTTATGTGTTTCATTATTTCTATCCAAATTAACCGCAACTGTTCCGTGGTATCAATATATGTTTGAAAATATATATTTTAAATATATCTTTCCGTCAATAATATGTGTTTCATTATTTCTATCCAAATTAACCGCAACTGTATCGTGGTATCAATATATGTTTGAAAATATATATTTTAAATATATCTTTCCGTCAATAATATATTAACTAAAGAGTGGTTTACATGAAAGAAATTTTTTGCTGAACTTATCAAACTGTCGGATACATACTCGTATAAACATGTATTTTTGGAAAATGTTTTCAAATAGAGTTTAAATATGTTTTACGTGGGAGGTGAAAACTTTTTTTTCTGATGTTTTCAACTTCAATTCACTCAAAAAAGTCAATATTCTATAACGAAACCACTATATGTTTGAAATAACTACGTGGCGAATTGGACTCCTGGAGTGTTTATAGAAACTACGGACTGCTGGATAGGATATTTTTTTGATATAATTTTTGTTATACCTTTGAAACAGCAAGGTATATTTCCACAGATTTTTATTTTTAAGCTATTTTTCAGGAAGAATCCACCGGTTTCGATCATTTCCTTCCTTCAAAAGTTTTCTGGAAACTCATACCAGCTAAATGAAGCAATTATCCTATTTTTCAACATACAATTCTAAGTAACTCTCCACAGGATAATGCACTGGAGTCGATCAAAGCATCGGCCACCCAATCAAATGATAACCGCGTTTGCAATTGTTTCATTGAGATCGAAACCCCTAAATCCGTTTTTGTCATATCTGCACCAAGATAACTGATAATCACGATAATTCTTGCTTGAACGATAAAATTTGTTCACTATGAATTTTGTTTTACAGGTCGCCACTAGGCCTGAGAGAAACAAAAATCGACAATCAAGGTATAGATTATCGAACGGCGAATACTCCAACGGAAATTGATCGAATAGACTATAATATCAACACAGACGTGAGTATAGGTAATCAGTAGCATAATCAAAATGTTGAAAAATGTCAGTCTAAAGAAATTGAAATTTTATTGGTGATTGAAGTTCGTCAGGAGACATTTGAACTCATTGAAATCTCATTGAAAACCCATATATCATCGAAAAAACATTTTTGACGTGTAGAAATTGAATTGTTAACATGACTACCTGAAGTGTCATTGAGAACAAGTAAAACAATTCTGTGACTCAGTTGCATATATTAGACTCAAATATAAGAAGATAAGCTTTCACTACAGAAGTCACGCTTAGAGACAATAAAATCCGGGATGGTAGGTCGTGATCGAATGAAACTTGTAGTAACAAACGTTTCTTCTGCTACTACGGTAAATATCTTCAGTGGTATGCGTCTACTGCGAGAACGACAGTGATATCTCGAAGCCTCAGTAACAGCTGAGTGAAGTGCTGGGTGATCATTTGTATTTATACTTTATGGGCGTGCTGATGGGGGTGGGAGTTGTGGAGTGTCCATGCGAATATTCACTTCTGTTTGGCCGGTTTAATTTTCTACTAACCATTACTCTTTGCTTGGCGAATTGCCTGGCATTTCAAAATCATCAGTCATTAACAATTACTAGTGTATGGCTTCTTATAACTGTTTTTAGGTTCTGATCAAACGCTTTCTTCTGATACGTTCTCAAAATATTTCTTACCTCACAAACTTAGAGGCAAAGATCATTGGTTATTACTCTTTCCGGTTCCTTTCAATTCAGAAACTTGCAAAAAACTGAGAATTCCTGTGAATATATTATCGATTTCCGTTTTCTGATCATCTGCTTTCGTAATGTGGTTGAGTTTAATCAAAGTGTTTTGTAAAAGAATTTTCCTCGTTACAACCAAACCAAATATAGAATTAATAACACCTACTTGTTTTCACTCTTTTTTCTGATTAATTCATGTTTTTGCTCATTCTCTCCTACCAATTCCAAAGTTTCCTCAGTTTTGGTATCCTCCTCCTTCAAAGTGGTTTTCATTTTTTCCTCAATGATTTTATTTGTTCTTCATTCGATCTGGTTGATTTTTTACATCTGTTCAAATCGTCTTGGAATGTATTTTCAATTGATAAGCAAATATAGAACTATAGATACAGATGCAGTCTCCAGAAATTGATTTTCATTCATGAAAAATAATTTATTGATAACTTATACGAGGTCTTTAAAAAAAATGAATTTTCAAATTTCGCGGGCTACGTACATTCGATTAATGATTTTTTTTATGTTGGTGTACTCGTCCTAAACAAATGTTTACAGTTTCAGCTGTTTAGCATATTCAGTTTGTTGGTGAGAGGCATAATAGTAAGAAGCGTTCTGCGCGTTCTAATATCGAAAAAAATGTATCAAGGAATTTGCATTGAATTATGTGTAAAGAATGATATTGAGTGCTCAGAAACACTTGAAAAGTTAACAGTGGTATACGGTGATTGTACTTTGAGTCAGAAAAATGTTTAGAAGTGGTATAAGCTTTTCACAGAAGGTCGATAAGATGTGATTGACGACACTCACTTTGTAGCCCAAGCACATCAAAAACCGATGAGAATGTTGTGAAAGTGAACACTGCTGAGAAATTGATGAATAACTTTAACGGCGATCCAGATGCCCTCAACTGATGGAAAATCCTGTATATATAGTTGTGAATCAGAAGAGAGTTATCCTGAAAATCTTGAGAAGAAACTTAGATTAGACAAGTGTTATTCATGACGAAAAATTTCAAGAACGAGGTTTTAATGATGAACGAGAACGAGCAAAACAATAGCCGAATCAATACACTTGACCGCTCTGGATTGAATGATTCTATACAGTGTATCTCATCTTGTGTTTGTAAATATTTTGCTGGAAAAATCCTCACTTGTTTGCTCTGTAGTAAATGTTCAAGAGGTAGCAAAAACTTTTGTGATTTTCTGGAACTTCAACTAGCGTTTCCTAATATGACTAATAACCAGTCCGTGCAAAGATTATTGTTGAGTCATCTGCAAATGGAACTTATAACAGGTGATGATCGAGTGTATTGCCAAACATGCGCCGAACTGACTGTTATAAGGAAACAACTATAGCTGGGGTACCAGTCAATCTAATAATAACACTGATGATCTTCAAACATGACTCAACCTCTGACGGAAGCACTAAACTCTTACGAAGGGTCGAAATAGATGAACACTTCAATCTAGCAGACCAATATTCATGCAGGCTTTGTTCGCTATGGTTCTGGTGTTGAATCCGGTCATTATTACGCCTTGGTCAAAGACGAAACGAACTGGTTTAAGTTTGACGATAGTCGTACTACTAAGTGTTATGGGGATGTATTGAATTTATTGGAGACTCTGGAGACACCCTACATATTGTTTTATGAGAGAGAGGACATTGGCAGATCAAGATATTCAGATGATGTGATGCTGCAGCTTTTCTGGGTTTTCCTGCAGCTGAAAAAGCAAATGCGCCACTAGAATCAATGAAGTCGCCCTGGAGCGTCAATTAATTTTTGTTATTGTTTTATGATTTCATGATATGTATTTTAGAAGTGTTTGAACTCCTAATTCATAAACATATATTTCGGGCAGTTATGACATCGAAACCAAAGTCCATAATCCCAATGGAAGAGCCCAAGAGAGCCAAGCCAACAAAAAGCACGCCAAGTTCAATCAGATGTCAAGGTGTTTCTCACTATTTTATTCGATTACCGTAGTGTATTGGCAGGTCTTGCACCACATGATCACCTGCTCACTCGTCATTGCTTGTTCAAAATTTTTTGTAATAGTAATCATGCCTCAGCTACCGTATTCACCATATTTAGCCTCCTGCGACTTTTTTCTGTTCCTAAGATTGAGGAGACCCATGAAAGGATGGCGTTTTGCAACGATTGAGGAGATGAAAACTGAATAACTGAAAGAGTTCAAGGATTTACCAAACTGGTACTTCGAGGGAGACTACTTTGTGGGAGACAAAATAGAAATTGGTGATAGTTCATATATAGACACAATGTCAGATTTAACTTCCATCCGATTTTTCTTTAAGATCCATTACCAGCTGATCCAAACCGATAGTATTTGCACATATTTTTGCTGGACGGACTGTATCATTTGTTTCCTTCGGAAAGTTGAACCACGTTGGGTGATGAAATTTGAATCGCTCTCAGGGATCATCGCGGCTGATGAATTTCAGTGCTTTATAATGACGACATGTGAGAACAAACATTTAAAAAAAAACTCTTACTAATTTCAAGTGATTCCTTGGGAATGACTATGATTATTATTTTATCCATAATACTTCCAGCCAATAAAAAATACTATTCGTTGGAGTTATCTTGTATAATTATACCAGCTGATGGTTCAATAATACTGAATGATACATACAGTCGAATTTGAAGTTGAATGTGAGTTTCAAATTTCTGAGGATCACGTTCTATGCTGTTATGTTGTTTATGCAATGATGAATTGCGTAATGTTTGTCTTAGAAAAATACCTATTCACTAAGTGAAAGCGTCTAATACCAAGGTGAAATAGTTTAAGCGTGATTAACTGAAAAATTCTGATATATTATCACAATTCTGACATCATAAAAATCAATCTGACAATCAACATTGTCAATTAAATGAGATCTAATATTATTTCGATAAAGAACTCGTANTCTGATAAGATGGTGTATACCGCACATTCTTTCAGTCCTGTAAGGAATTGGTTGGATCAAGTATGTGGATTGGTAGGCACGTTCCGTTGGAGTAGCCTTCTCGTTCATCATATCTGACTAATCGCAAACTTTTCTTTGGAGTTATATCAAATCAGAAGTTTATGTCACGCAACCTGGGACAATACGGAAATTAATAGACATAATTACCAAAACTTGTGCTAGCATTACAAAGATACATTCCAAAAAAATTATTTCGAAAACAGATTGTTTTATTGTCGGAAGGATCAAAGAGAATGTTTTCAATATTTGCTCAAATGATTTTTTTCATGTATAAAATGAATATTACCGGAGTTTTTTTCCAACCACAAATCGTTATTTTAACACCTCGACACGTGTTTTCATCATGATCATCCTCAAGAAAAAGATCAAACTAAATATACTTACAATGTTTTCCTTATTTATACCATAGATACCTCTCCTAGGTACCTGCGTCTCGAGTGTCTTTAATAAATTTCACAATATTGCCTTATCTACTGGTCTTAAATCAATTTTACAATGTGTGCTCATATAATAGCCAGGTGAACCTGATAATTGAAATATTATAAAGTTTACTATTAGGTATTGGTCCACCACCGTTATTCATAATATTATTATGTTAACTTATTTCTACACTCTCATAGGCATCTAGATGCTTGTTGTTGTTAACTTGTCCAACTAATCTTGATGAACTAAAGTCTATGAAATGGTTTTGTTGCTGCTGATTTCTCAGGTCATCTACAATACCCCTCGAGAAAGCGTTACTGGCTGAGAGAATAAGAAAGAATGAATAAGAATGAACGAAATCTCGACTTTTGAAAACGACGAAAACCAAGATAGGTGTATCTCAGTTCTATACCACCAATATACGAAGAACTTTGGAAAGATTTCAAAGGAACTGGGTATGAAGGTAGATTTTGAAACAAGTCATACACTACAGAGCCTTTTGAGAAATCCAAAAGACAAAGTCAAGAATTCGAAAAAGTCTGGAAATAACAGAATTGAATGTGAGGACTGCGATGCAGAATATTATAGACAGACAAAAATATCTATAAAAATGAACACTTAGCGCACTAAAAATATGAAAGACTTGAAAAATCAGCAGTCGCCCATAATATTTGGCAACAAAACCATTCCATAGACTTTAGTTCATTAAGATCAGTTAGACAAGTCAACAACAGGCATCTAGATGTCTATGAGAGTGTAGAAATAAGTAACATAATAATATTATGAATAACGATGGTGGACCAATACCTAACTATTACATAAGGACACATTGTAGAATCAATTTAAGACCGGTAGATAAGGCA